CCCCAGGCCTGTGGAGGAGACACCTTATGTGGCGATACTGACTGCAGCCAGGTCACAGACGGCCCCTACTCTGAGACCCAGAAATGAAGCCAGGCAGCTGCTGGCCACAGGCCGCCACCTTTCTGCTGCACCCAGACCCCTTTGCGCAGCATCCTGCCTGAGCAAGACCAGCTCTGTGCGAAGTCTTGGAAGACCCTGCCTTCCTCTCCTGGGACCCAAAGGTTGTCAACCCAGCCCTTTTTCCTGGCCAGACCAGGTGTCAGCAAAGCAGACAGGACAGGAACCCTAGGTTGCACACGGACTGTTCTGCAGAAACTTGGCTAGCCCTCCCCGCAAAGGCTTCAGGTCGGATTTGGTGAGAAAGTGGAATGGAATGATGCCCAGGCTCTGGTGGGAGATATCTGGGGCTGAAATAGGCCTGCAGAGTTGGCAAAATGAAATAGCCTAGCCCCCCAGGGTTGGCTACTGGGCCCAGGGTCCCAGGATGAGCTGCTATACCCAGGCCCCTCGGGCTGACTCCTCCACCAGGCTGGGGACAGATTCAGACCCTTGGCTCCCTTTTTCTTAATCATCATGGGTGGCCAGGGCACCCAAGAGTAGAGTTGGGACTGGGTCAGCACCCTGGGGTCAACAGTATCTGGGCACAGGGCCTCTCCTCCTTCCCTCCTCCACCATGCCTGTGAGTCAGAGGGCAGCCAGGAGACTCCGCCCTCAAAAGCTTCTGCCACGTGGCTACCCGAGTCTCTCCCCTCTTTTCACACTCAGTCCTTTAGAACTTGCTGCCTCTCCCAGTGTTCTGAGCAGTCCCTGCCCCACTCCCCACACCCTTTCTGCTGGTAAGCCCCCCGCTTCGGAGCGCAACAAGGGTCACTGCCAGCCCCATTCCCAAGCCAAGCTCCCATACCCCCCCTCCGGCCCCACTGGCCCCACTCGGGACCCCAGGCCTGCCAGAGGGCCGCCTCCCTCTGCCGCAGTCAGCACACTGAATATTTAATGTCTGACGAGCGCTTCCACCTGCTGACACAGGCAAAGTGGCAGAACAATGCGATGCCGAGGACGGGGACACGGCCAGGCCCCTTACAGACAGCCTCCCGCGGTGGCCCTGCACGTCCATCTCCCGCCCTGAGCAGCCACCCACAGGGCACAGGCCACCCCTCGGTCTGGCGAGAGAGTTCCTAGCCTGAAATACATACTTCTTTACATTCCATAGCTTAGCAGGTCCATATGGGCATATAAAGAAGTATGTGCCCCAAGCAGGTAGTTCAGTGTGCACAAGAATGTGGCCCAGCACAAGCTGACCCCATTTAGTGGGGAAAAGGAAAAATTCCCACAAAGTTCTATGTGCTAAAGTTCCCCATGCCAGGTCAGGACCCATTCCCCACCCCCAATGACCCATCCCTCTCCACTCTTCACCCTGCCTGCGTCTCAGTCTCTCACACATGTGCACACTTGGTAAAGAAGGGTGGAGGCAGACAGGGCATGCTAGAAAGTCTCACAAATCTTATCCTCCCTAACCGTTAGTCATTTTCCCTCAATGGAACAAGACTGGAGTTCTCTCCCATTCTCCCTGACGGAGGAGAGTCATATCCAGATTTTCAGAAACAGCACCCAGCCTCTGCCAACATTTTCCCTCTCCTTCCTGCCCACCTTGCCCCCACCAAGGACAGAGAGGATGGGGTAAAGAGACAGAATTCAGGAGTAGCTCCAACACCCAGACCAAGGACCACACACATCATTTTCCTAGGAACTGAACAGCCCAGCTCCCTAAGGATAGATGAGGACAAGCAGTTTCAGGGGTCTCCAGAAATGAACCAGGGGGCTTACCTGGGCAAGTGATGGCCTCCCTGTCAGGACCCTGATGAATTCTGTCTCCCTCCCTGAGAGCAGGGCTCCATGCCTCTTTCTTTGAAGTGAAGGAGAAAGATGGTGATCTTGGACTCCATGTCCCCACAAAGTGTCTAGGGGCTGCTGAAAGGTGACCTATTCACGGTCATGGGGCTCAGCCTGGCCTCAGAGCTGATGTTCAACCAGTGAGAGAGTGTTTCTGCTCTGGCTGCCTCCTCCTCTGGTCCCCTCCCCTCTTTTCTGTATCCTCTAACCTCTCTCCGCACCTGCGGTCACCAACCTGAGCTGCCTCCATCCCTTGCCATGCAGCGTGGCCACCTGAGATGATGGCGAACTCCACATGAAATTTCAGAGGTCATCCCTGAAGGACTTGTCCCTCACCTGATCCATCCAACTTCCATCAGTCCCTGATCAGTGATTTATAGCTAAACAAAGGGGCTGTCCTCCTGGACCTAAAGATCCTTGCTTGTACCAACTTCTGAGAAATGGATAGGCAAATTTGAAAAGTGCTTGGGAAACTTAGTTGCATTTTGTTTCTCCTCTTGATTTTTGAGATCTCTCTGGAAGTAAAGTGGAGACTCTCTTCTGCCCTACCAACTTCTACACCCAGAGAGAGGAAGAAGGGAATCTGAAAAACAGAAAGATGGGCAGGACTTCGAGGTCAGGTCCTCAATGGTAGACCTGAGCCATTCTCAGGCAGAGAGAAAGAGAATGAGAAGGAGAAAGGGGAGAAAGGGGCAGAGGAGGAAGAGAAGAAAGAGGAGGAGGAGGAGACTCACATGCTAGGAGGCTCACCATCACCCAAGGTGAGTCTGCAGGTAAGGTGCTGCAACCCTGGAACAGGTGTCCCTGCAGGTGGCTCCCTAGGAGAGAGCTGAAGATGCCCACTGCAGGAGGAGCTGGGCTGGCGCAAACAGAGGGTCTGGCTGGCCTTGGTCCTGGTGTGGGGCTGCAGGGCAGTCCCAGGGCCCGAAAGAATGTCCAGTTCCCCCTTGTCAGCAGGATGATGTCTGTCTCTGGCATGACCTGACCAGCCCTGTCCCTGTGAGGAAACACCCCAGAGAGCATCCAGACTCTCCAGTTCCTGGGAGGGCCCTGTCTCTGCAGAGCCTGCAGCATGCAGAGGTCCCCCTGGCTGTGGCAGCTGCAGCAAGGCAGGGTGGGAAAGGGATTAGGGCGCTGACAGGCACTCTCATGCAGCAGGAAGGAGCTACCTGGCAAGGGACAGAAACGATGTCCATTTCCCGTGTGGTGACTGTTAAATTTTCCTTTCCACATAGCTAAAGATAAAAATGGCAGCCAGCCCAGCAGCCTCAGCATCCAGCCTCGGGGGCGCCCCTGGTGTGGCTGAGCCCCTGACCCTGGCTCCCACTTATGCTCCCTGAGAACTCTAAGAAGATACCTCAGTCTTCCGCCACACCTCCCAGGTGTCCCTTTGATGATGTCTGGATGCCAAACAGAAAGTTGGGGGCACCAGAAGAACAGGAGTCAACTCAGTCCACATCCTCAGGAGCTGCTCATTCGCAAATGAATGAGAGTCACTTCTCAAAAAGTTTCCCACCTTAACAAAAAAGTGGTATCAGCCACCTCCAAGCAGACCCCCATGGCAAGCAGAGCTGGCGCCTGGGGCGGGGCCTTATCCAGAGTCCCTCCACTGTGAACACTGGCTCAGCCCTAGCCCCAGCCCTAACCCTAGCCCCAGCCCCAGCCCCAGCCCCTGGATGCCTGACACAGCACCCTTTTGATCCTGGCAGGGCTGGGAGAGCTTCAGAAATCCAGAGTCCCAGCCATGACAGCCTGGTCAGCGCTCCTCAGAAATTCCCCACCCCCAAGGCACTCATGTCGAGGTTGCAAGTTCCAGGGTAAGTTTAGCCACAATCTCGGCTGTTGCCCTCAACTGGTTAATCTATTTCCTCAGCTCCCGTGCCAGTCCCCGAGAACAGCGGGCGCCATCCACCCTGCCCTCCACCAAGCATCCAGGGGCGCTGCTTTCTTGCAAAAAGCCGTATGTCAAAGTTCCTGCATCCCGGTTGGACGCGCCCTCCCAACCCTCCCAGCCCTGCCGGCTGCTGGCTCTGCAGTTTTCCAAATGTGGATGATGCTAGGAGCCAAGAGAAAACTCCAGGCACCCCTTCTGGAGCCACGCGGCACCAGCACCCACAGCACCCACCTCACCAGAGGGCACACCCCCACCACTGCCGATAAGTTTTCAGGGGCTTTCCTAGCTGGTGGGCAGCTACAGCAGCCAGCTGAGAGGGACTCACCAGGGAGCCCTGGGCGCCCCTCGGGCTGGGCTGGTGACCGCGGCAGCAGTGGCAGCGGGCGCAGGGTCGCGGCTCCCCGGGAGATGCTGCAGCAGCGGCAGCGGTAGCCACCTCCTCCCGGAGCCAATCGCAAATGCAGGGGTGGGGGCGGGCCGGAGCTCCCGTTGCGTCCGCACTTGTGGGGGGGGCAGAGAGAGAAAGAAGACACCAGCACCCCGACTCCGCACCCCTGCCCTTCCCCCAGCTCTCCTGCAGCAGCGCAGACTTAGCAGCAGGGAAATCTTGAGAGAGAAGGAGGAAGAGGGAGAGGGGAAGGGAGGGGAGGGGAGGGAGGAGAGAGAGAGAGAGAGAGAGAGAGAGAGAGAGAGAGAGAGAGAGAGAGAGCTGATGCAGAGTTAAGGAGGCAAAGCCCAGCCGCACACCTTGCCCGGCCAAAGCTGCAGGAAGCTCCTGCACCCTCAGCCCTGTCGGCACCAGGTAGAGGTCAGAGCAGAACAAAAGGGAAAAAGAGAAAAGCCCCGCGGGTATGCACGCTCACACATGCACGCAGCCCCACAGGCCAAGATTCATGCATGCAGGGGGGTGGGGGGAGGGCAGAGCCGGGATGGCCTGACCCAAGGCTGGTGGGGCATGGGGCCCTTGGGTCAGGAGCGACCTCACCTTGGCAGTTCTTATATACCCGGCCAAACATCCCAAACACGCGGCCCGGCCAAGTGGCCCCCCTCGGGCTGTGCGCCCTGACCATATTTAGTCAAGCAGGGGAAAAAATAGCCTGTCAGCTGGGCCGAGGCTGGCCAGGCAGCAAGGAACAGGGTGGGAGCCCCAGCACCATTGACAGCGGCCCTGGGCTGCCCCGTCCCCCTCTCAACCCCTCCCTGACCAGCCTGCTACCGGCTGTCCCTGTCCTGTCCGAATCCCCCTGCTATTTTTAGCTAGGCCCGGTACAGAGGTGCCTCCTCCCCAGTGGGCACTCGCCTCTCTCTGAGGCCACAGCAGCCCATTCCTCAGAGTGCCTTGGGGAGACTGGAGCTGCTCCAGGGAGTGGGGCCCAGGGAGGGGAATGGGTGCCGCCCTGGCCTTAGTCCCCTAAAGGCCCTGCTGGCCCAGGGCCCCAGCATCTCTAGAGTGGTGTCTTTTTTGCTCAGATGTAGGGTTGGGTCAAGGGACAGCAGAGTCACCAGTTTTCCTGAGGGTCCCAAGCCAACTCCAGGTAATGAGAATTGCAGGTCACCTTGAGCAGCAGACAAGGCCAACTCACTTGTCACTCCCACCCCCTCAGACCCTGACATCAAGAGTGTGTGGCTAGAAGACTCTGTATCCACCATGGTGAGTATGATTGGGAGTGCCTCCATTCTGGCTCCCACCTGGGTCATATAAAAGACATGGCTTGGGAATATGGCCCCATTGGGCTGGGACTCAGAGTCTAGCAGCCTGGGATCAGCCAACTATCCCCTTCCAGCAGAGTGACATTGAGCAAGTTGCTACCACCCTGCTGCTGTAAAGTACAATGACAACCAACAGTTGAGATGACTTGGGAATCACTGGCGGAAGGCCTGAAGTAGGCCCCACAGTGGGCATGAGTGCTCCTACTGGCCAAGCCCTGCACAGAACACAGGCATCCAAAGGCTTCCTGCTGTTGTAGAATCCACTCACAAATCTCCTTCCTCCTGTACTTAGAGAAGTGTCCTCCCTGTACTGGCAAATATGGGGAAGCAGGACCATTTACAGCTTCCCAGGAGACACATGTGAGCAGCCTGCTTCCACCCAGGCCACTTCCCACGTGGTGGGAAGGACATCCCTTCAGCTTCACTCCCAGGCTCTTGGTCACCCAGCAGGAGAGGACACTGACTAAGACCAGTCTGCAGAGGCAAGAGAGAGATGAAGTCATACCATAATCACCACATTGGCTGGTGTGACCAGTGTCCCAACCAAGGAGGGAGAAGCAGGGAGAAGGGTCCCCATTGCTGGCCGAGCTGGGGTGGGTACCGTACTGCAGGGTGTACCCAAGACTCACAGGCTACAGGGCTGCCTTTTTCCCAGAGAAGGCGTAGTGAGCAAACTATCCCAAGTCCCCCCAGGACACAGCCAGAGGACAAACTCTTGAAGAGGGAAGCCCTGGGCCCCAGCTTCTAGTCTCTTAGAACCTCACTGCCCACCTATAAGGGAGCAAAGCACCTCCTCACAGAGGGTGTGGAGAAGTTGAGCTGGGACCACCATGTTGCCTTAGGCCCCCTCAAGACTACATGTGTGGTTAGGTATGGTAGCACAAGTCTGTAAGACCAGCATTCAGGAGGTGGAGTTGCCAAGAGTTCAAGGCCAGCCTGGGCTATGGTGAATACCAAGCCAGCAGGAGCTACATAGTAAGACTGCTTCAAAATTGTAAGCAAATAAATGAGTAAGTATTGTACCCATAATGACATGTATAGCTAGGAAAGCCTCTAAAACAGTTGTCCCAACACATTTACCTTGGAGTCTTTCTTGTTTGTTTGTTCGTTTGTTTTGTTTTTTGTTTTTTTGAGACAGGGTTTCTCTGTATAGCTTTGTGCCTCTCCTGGAACTCACTCTGCAGCCCAGGCTGGCCTCAAACTCACAAAGATCCACCTGCCTCTGCCTCCTGAGTGCTGGGATTAAAGGCTTGCTCCACCATCACCTGGCACTACTTTTGAGTCTTAATACCTCTTTTTGGTGCTTAGAAAATTTACTGTATGAATGATGGATGAATGAATGACTTAATCAATCACTGACTGAACCATTGGTCACTAGATAACTCAGGGCATTGGGATGGGACTGGGGGCTCTGTTTCTGTGGTTCAACTTGAATTTGCATGAGACTTACATCTTATGGGGCAGTGGTATAAGTGTCCACGATGGGTCAGCTCTGTCAGAGGTGATAGAGACATTTCCCCACAGCTGTGCGGGGTTCTTATAGAGACTAGCTTCATACCTTGGGTATCTTTGGTCACCCACAATGAGGCAGAGCCATCCAAGATCTTTTGTGTTCCACCCAGTAAGTCCTCAGGAAGAGGGTTTTTCATGGATTTTATACCTCAGCAGGGGCCAGCCACTGAACCTGGACAAGCCAGCCTGCCCTCCACCCAGGATCAGGAGTTGGGGCACCCTCGTCACCTGATTGTACCTGATAGTTGTCCCCCAAAATTCATTGACATTGAGACTAAGCAAGTGACTTCCTTGAATCCATGTGTCCTTGAACACACAGCTCTCAAGAGGGGTGGAAACTTCTTATTTCTTCCCCAGGGAACAGGATGGAAGAGACACTGTTCAACCATGAAGATATCCAACCCCATATCTTCATCCTCACCCTCACCATTCCATGCCAGTGAAGCCACAGCAGAAAACAGGCAGCTTCTCCAATGATGAGACCTTAATAAGCCTGAGCATTTTCTCTCGTAGGCGCATGTCTGAGAGGTCCCTGCAGCATCATTTATGGTCCAAACAGTACAACCCAGACGTCATCGACTAATGACCAGGGAACAACACACGGCATGCTGATTGAATGGAATATTATTTGGCCATAAAAAACCCAAAGCAGTGCTCCATACTCTTAAAAATAAGATGTAGAATCAACACAAAAGGCCACAAACTGAGTGTACTGAATGTGAAACTCCCAGAATGGGCAGATCCAGGGACAGGCAGGGAGGGATAACCCCCGGGAAGTGGGTCTCCTTTGGGTGATGAGATGTTCTGGAGGGACACAGAAGAGACAATTGTACAGTATTGGGTGCCGTAGATGCTGTCCGATGATGCGCTCTTTAAAATGGTTCTTTTTATCTTTGTTTTGTTTTCGTTTTGAAACAGGATCTCATGTAGCCCAGGCTGCCAGCAAGCTTACTGTGTAGCTGAGGACGACCTTGAACTTCTGATCTTCCTGCCTCTACCTCTGGAGTGCTAGGATTAAAGGTATGCATGCCACTCCCACTTGGTTCCTTTATCTTATATTAATTCCTTAATTGAAAAATAGACAAACCTATCTCAAGGCTCAGTCCACCCTCTCTCCTCACTGACCCCAACTCCTAGGCTCAGGACTGCCCAGACCTGGCCATAGGACCTGGATCTTCAAGGACCTTAGCTATAGCTTTCTTGGGGACATTCCCCAGGAAGCTAAAAGTAAACCCCATTTTCCCTACTCAATCCTGTCTAAAGCTAGAACATGTTGTGAAATGAACAGAAGATTGCCCCCTTTTCTCAAGAATACTTCAGAACCTTAGACCATGTCTCTGTGTGATGGTCCGCCTTCCTTGTCAGCTTCATAGGATTTAGAACACACGTACATCCGAGAGCACCTTTGAGGTTTAACTGAAGCAGAAAGACCCGTCATCCTGTGGGCTTAAGTCCCATGTGCTGAATGAAAAGGAGAAAGCAAAGCTGAGGAGCACACTCGCTCACCCCTTCTTCCTGTGTCTCCACTCGGATGCAGAATGATCATCCCCTTCATGTTCTACCACTGTGATCCTCACCACGATGAACTGCATCCTCAAACTATGAGCCAACACAAGCCCTTCCTTAAATTACTTCTTTCGGGGTACGTAGTCCCAGGGATGAGAAAAGTAACCACTCTGCCTTGCATGACAGAAGGGGTTAATTTGAGGAATTCAAGATGGAGATGTTCCTGAACCATCCTGGACCAATGCCCTCACAAGATCCTTATAGGAGAAGGATAGCTAGAGATATGGGAGTACACTGCACTCCTGGCTTTGGGTGGAGGAAGGGACCACAAATGGAAGTTTGCATGGTCTGGAAGCTGGAGATGACAGGCATGACTCCCTTACAGCCTACAGAGGGATTCAGCTGACACCAGACTTCTGCTTTTAGCCTATAAGAAGATAATTGGATATTCAAGCACTACATGTATGGCCATGTGTTACAGCAGTCACAGGACACTCATACCCTACCTGTGGCTTTCAAGGAAACCCTTCTAGTGAGCAGAGTTAGAGGGCCATAAGGACCTTCCCAGAGACTCCCCATGGCCTGCACACATGGTAGCATCAGCTTCCTTATGCTCTTGGGCCCTCACCAACCCTATCCAGCATGCCCTGTGCTGAGCTCCAAAGGAGCCAGGCAGGAAGCTGTATTCAGGGAAGGTCCCTGGGCAGGGGAGGGCACTGGTCAAGGAAAAGGACTGAGTTGATATTGACTTCAAGATACTCCTGTAGCTATGCTTCTGAACCGACTTTCTGTGCTGACCTGGCCTGGCCCTGGCTTGGGTACTGATTCCATAAGCAAGCATGGCCAAGGGGAAGACAGACTGGGCTCTGTACAGATCTCATGACCTCTCTCTGTCAGTGCTCAGCCCACACAGCTATAGCTCTGTCCAGGATGGTCAACTGGTCACCAAAAGCCAGGAACTGAAGTGGGTGTGGTGGAGCTACAAACCCTGAGGCATACCAGGGACCTAAAGTTTGAGCTAAAAATGGTGTCCCTTGGCCTGTGTGCTCGACTTCACAGAGCCACTATGAGGCCATGAGCACTGAGTCCAACAGAAGATGGAGCCTGCAGCACTGCCCAGTGCCAACTAACCACTGCCCTGGCATTTGTGGTGCACATTCAAGGCGTGAAGCATCTCTGGCGGGGAGGCTTGTGTGTGCCACTGTGGCCTATGGAGCAGAGCCATGAGTGAAATGTGCATGAGCATGAGGCATCTCCACCATGCCACAGGATCCCACAGCCCCACCACACTTTGGAGGCTGCCAGTGCCAGACCTGTTGTACCCACAGGCATACACACACACACACACACACACACACACACACACACACACACACACACACTCCCTTAAACACTCTCCCTTAACGGCAGAGCTGTTGGGGCCGGAGCAGGTGTGTGTGTACGGCATATTTTTAGCATGCAGTGTCAGCAGAGAGCAATCTGTCTCCTGCGATGGACGTCCCATTCAGTATGGTGACAGCTCAACCATCAGCAGATGCAGGATGCTTTGGAGCACCCAGCCCAAGGCACAACAATTTAGCCCCCAGCCAGACCTGAATTACTCACCAGCCCCAGGTCTGTACACAGAACCCAGGACAGACTGCAGGCTGGGTAGAGGGCAGGTGCTAGGATCTGAGTCTGGGGCCAGGCAGAGCTTCAAAGCCTCCCAGCCCCCAAGCTAAGAGGTAGGGTTCAAAACCAGCTTTTCCATACGCCATTAAATGTCCCTGTGGAGGATATACCAACACCCTGGAAGAAGACCTGAAGTGACAGGTAGGCAGACTTCAAAGGCCCTGAAGCCACAGCCTCTCCTGTTTTGGAGGCATGGAAACAGGGTTGAGATTAATATTGAGGTAAAAAGGGAGCCCCTCCTGCAGACCCTAACCCATTATCTGTTGTCCTTGAGGACAGTCAGACCGCACCCTGATTTCTACTCACCACAGGATGGCCTTCCAGGCAACGGGGGACACAAAAGGCAAGGAGAGCTGGTGAACTCCTTATCCTATGTGGGTCCTAGACTGCTTTTCAATCTAGATGGATCCCACAGGCAAGGATAAGGGGGAGACAGGCCAATAAACGGATGGATGAACAGATGGACAGATGAACGGATGGACGGACAGACGGATAGATGGATG